CTCCAAAGCCCCAGCCCACCCCCCCCAATAAAAAACGTACCTTCCCTAAAATACATGAATGACTAGTCTACAATCAACTATATTCCTTCATAGAAAAACATCAAATCCAGTATAAATATCAATTTGGATTCAGGAAAGGATACTCCACTGAACAGGCTATTCTTGAAATTACAGACAATTAAAAGCTAGTAATCGATAGAAAACAAATCACATGTGGTCTATTTCTTGATTTGTCAAAGGCCTTTGACACAGTGAATCACAGCATTCTACTGTCTAAGCTCTCTTTATATGGCGTTGGAGGAGTCTCACATAAATGGTTTGAGAGTTATTTTCAAAATCATAACCATTATGTCAAACATTGATTCCACTAGATCTGCCAATGAAAATATAACATGTGGCATACCTCAAGGCTCAACTCTAGGTCCACTCTTATTTCTACTCTATGTTAATGATTTACCAAAATTTAATTGCACTGATAAACTCTCAGTGAGTATCTTTGCTGATGATACTAACTTGTTTTTTACTAGTGACAACCCACATCATCTAAAATCTGTTATGAATCATGAACTAAAACAAATTTATAAATACTGTGCCCTAAATAAGTTGTCTATTAATTTTGCCAAAACTAATTACATGTTAATTTCATCGTCTAGATACCACCCCGCGATAAATATTGAAAACATTGAATCAAAGAATTGTATAAAATACCTGGGAGTCTATATCGATAAGCACCTAAATTGGCAACTGCAAATACAACATATAAACAATAAAATAGCAAGAAACATTGGAATTGTTACTATATTGAGACATTATGTCGAATTTAATATGTTAAAGCAATTATACTATGCTTTGATATATCCCTATTTAAGTTATGGTATAACTACCCGGGGCTGTGCCACCAATACTAAGTAAACTTAAAGTGCCTCTGTATTAAGCAGAACAAATGTCTTCATAGCATCTTCTTTGCAAATGCTAGAGAGAATGCCAATTCCTATTATAAACTATTAGGAATTCTAAAGTTGGAAGCTATTTATAAATTCAGAATATGCTGTCTTACGTATAAGATTAATATTAAAAGTGATAGCATTCCAGATATCTTCCTTGATATCCTGACCCCAGCATCTGAAAAACATAATTATAATACAAGATTTGCTACTAATAATAACTTTTTTAGACCAAGAGTATCCACCAACATGGGAAAATCATC